AGAGGAGGAGATGCACCGAGCCTATTAGACCTGATTTTCACCCAGAACGTAGAAGATATCGAGAATTTAGAGCATGAAATACCTCTAGGGGCCAGTGACCATTGTGTCCTAGTCTTTGACTACATGATGGAATTCAAACTTATGACCATGGGACAAGAGATCTGGGAAAGGAGAGCTGACTACAGGAAAGGGGACTATATGAGGATAAGGGACTATCTGGGTGAAGTGCAGTGGGAGGAAGAAATTAGAGGAAAAACAGTCCAAGATATGATGGACCTAGTCATACAGAAATGCCAGGAGGCCGAAGAGATTTTTATACCAACGGTAAAGGGAAAAAATAAGAAGGAATATAATAACCCATGGTTTAATAGACAGTGTCAGGAAGCAAAATGGCCAGCAGACGGGAGTGGAGGAAGTACAGAAGACAAAGAACAGAGGACAACAGAAGCAGATACAACAGAGCTAGGAACGATTACATTAACATAAGACGAACATCGGAAAGGGACTATGAGAACGATATTGCAATCAAAGCGAAAAAACAACCTAAGTTACTACCCAGTCATATAAGAAGAAAAATGTCGGTGAACGACCAAGTGACAAGACTAAGGAAGACAGAGGGGGCATATACTGAAAGTGACAAGGAAATCTGCGAGGCACTGAATGCCAGTTTCCATGGAGTGTTCACTACCGAGCCTGAGCAGCTCCCATTGTTGGAAGGGGTTACCCTAGATGAAAGACTATCAGATATAGAGGTGACAGCAGAGGAGGTAATGAAACAGTTGACAACTCTAGATGCAACTAAAGCAGTTGGACCAGACAAAGTATCACCGTGGATACTAAAAGAAGCAGCACAGGCCCTCAGCGTGCCTCTGGCAAAGATCTTTAATGAGTCACTTATGTCAGGAGAATTGCCCAGTTGCTGGAAGAAGGCAAATGTCGTGCCGATCTTCAAGAAAGGAGTAGGGAGGAGGCACTTAACTACAGACCTGTATCACTTACAAGCATCCCCCTGTAAAATACTGGAAAACAATAATTACACTGCGACTGGTTGCACACCTGGAGAACATTAGGTTTGTGAACAAACATCAACATGGGTTCTGGACACAGGAAATCGTGCCAAACACAACCTTCTGGAATTCTATGATAAAATAACGAGGATAAGACAGGACAGAGATGGTTGGGCAGACTGCATATTTCTGGACTGCCAAAAAGCCTTTGATACAGTACCGCACATGAGACTGCTGTTCAAGCTCGAGAGGCAGGCGGGGGTGGGGGAAAGGTCCTAGAATGGATAAGGAACTACCTAACAGGAAGGAGCCAAAGAGTTACGGTAAGGGGCGAGAAGTCGGACTGGCGAACAGTAACAAGTGGAGTACCACAAGGATCGGTGCTGGGACCAATTCTATTTCTTGTATATGTTAACGACATGTTTACAGGCGAGAGAGTCCTACATGTCGATGTTTGCGGATGATGCAAAGTTGATGAGAAGAGTTGTTGACAGATGAGGATTGCAGGATCCTCCAAGAGGACCTGAACAGACTGCAGAGATGGTCAGAGAAATGGCTACTAGAATTCAACACGAGCAAATGTAAAGTTATGGAAATGGGACTAGGAGATAGGAGACCAAGGGACAGTACACAATGAAGGGGAACAGCCTACCTGTAACGACGCGTGAAAGAGACCTGGGGGTGGACGTAACACCTAATCTATCTCCTGAGGCACATATTAATAGGATTACGACAGTCAGCGTACTCTACCCTAACACTGCAAAGTTAGAACATCATTCAGAAACCTAAGTAAGGAGGCATTTAGGGCGCTTTACACTGCCTACGTAAGGCCAGTCTTAGAGTATGCCGCCTCATCATGGAGTCCCCCATCTGAAGAAGCATATAATGAAACTGGAAAGGTTCAGAGGTTTGCAACGAGACTCGTCCCAGAGCTACGAGGGATGGGGTATGAAGAGCGCCTGAGGGAACTGTGCCTTACGACACTAGAAAGAAGAAGGGAGAGGGGGGACATGATAGGAACGTATAAGATACTCAGAGGAATTGACAGAGTGGACATAGACGAAATGTTCACACGGAATAGTAACAGAACGAGAGGACATGGATGGAAGCTTGAAACTCAGATGAGTCACAGAGATGTTAGGAAGTTTTCTTTTAGCGTGAGAGTAGTGGAAAATGGAATGCACTTCAGGAACAGGTTGTGGAAGCAAATACTATTCATAATTTTAAAACCAGGTATGATAGGGAAATAGGACAGGAGTCATTGCTGTAAACAACCGATGCTCGAAAGGCGGGATCCAAGAGTCAATGCTCGATCCTGCAGACACAACTAGGTGAGTACACACACACACACACACACACACACACACACACACACCGACAGAGGAACGCAGCGCACATGCACTTCTAATTCAACCAACTTGACCTTTCCTCGCTCTCCAACTTGCATTCCCTCCAACACAGAGAAAACACCGCCGCCTCTCACCCTGCCCCAGCCAATCTGCGGGGTTCTAAACTTGCTCCACCCCGCAAAAGACTTTCAAGAAAAGAATTCTGACTTCGCGTACAACACCATATTGAGTTTCCAGACATGGCCCTGATTTAGACTCTTGCCTTGTCGGGGGAAAACCGCGAAACAAATGGTTGAGTGTTTGTGTGAAGGTTGGACGTAGCAAAGTAAGCTTGCTATCTCTCGCTCAAGCTTGCTATCTCTCGCTCAAGCTTGCTATCTCTCGCTCAAGCTTGCTATCTCTCGCTCAAGCTTGCTATCTCTCGCTCAAGCTTGCTTGCTTGCTTACTCACTTTTCCTCATCTTGGTGGCATGTTATTTCCTCGCCCCTCATACACCTGTTCTATCTCATTTAGGTACATTACACCCTATCGTGAAATCTATTATTTTATATATTTAATATGAATTTATCAATAGTAAAATGTTTGATTCACCTGTATTCAGTGGTCAACGTGATGAACTACAAAACGCCGTGTTTCGCTTAATATATGAGTTTGGGTGGATATAAAGATGAGCTGCCTCGTATGGGCCAATGGGCATTCTGTAATTTTATTTATTATTATGTTCTTAATTTCTCTTTCAACATATGTTTTTTAAAGGATCTGCAAAATACTCTATATCATCAGAGTGCTGGTACATCTTATGGCACCATTACCCACACACACACACCACACACACACACACACACACACACACACACACACACACACACACACACACACACACACACACACACATCAAAACACACTCACACACACACTTCCTGAAGCCCACATCAAACGAATAATATCTGCGGCGTATGCGAGGCAGGCTAACATCAGAACTGCCTTAAGAAACCTGTGTAAGGAATCATTCAAAACCTTGTATACCACATATGTAAGACCAATCCTGGAGTATGCGGCCCCAGCATGGAGCCCGTACCTTGTCAAGCGCAAGGCGAAGCTGGAAAAAGTTCGTAGGTATGCCACTAGACTAGTCCCAGAACTAAGAGGCATGAGTTACGAGGAAAGGCTGCGGGAAATGCACCTTACGACACTGGAATACAGAAGAGTAAGGGGAGACATGATCACTACCTACAAAACTCTCAGAGGAATTGACAGGATAGATAAAGATAAAATGTTTAACACGGGTGGCACGCGAACAAGGGGACACAGGTGGAAACTGAGCACCCAAATGAGCCACAGGGACATTAGAACTTTTTCTGTGTCAGAGTAGTTAACAGATGGAATGCATTAGGCAGTGATGTGGTGGAGACTGACTCCATACACAGTTTCAAATGTAGATATGATAGAGCCCAGTAGGCTCAGCAATCTGTACATCAGTTGATTGACAGTTGAAAGGCGGGACCAAAGAGCCAGAGCTCAACCCCTGCAAGCACAAATAAGTGAGTACAACTAGGTGAGTACACAGATACATAGATACAAATGATACAAGGTATCATTAGGGAGATGAAATTCTTCTAGAATCAGAGATAGAGACAAAGACCTGGGGGTTGATATCACGCCAGACCTGTCCCCCGAAGTTCATATTAAGAGGATAACATCAGCGGCATATGCCAGGTTGGCCAACATTAGAACGGCATTCAGAAACTTGTGTAAGGAATCATTCAGAACATTGTATACCATATATGTCAGACCAATCCTGGAGTATGCAGCTCCAGCATGGAGCCCATATTTGGTCATGCATAAGACTAAATTGGAGAAGGATCAAAGGTTTGCCACCAGACTAGTACCCGAGCTGAGAGGTATGAGCTACGAGGAGAGACTACGGGAGTTAAACCTCACGTCGCTGGAAGACAGAAGAATTAGGGAGAACATGATCACCACATACAAGATTCTCAAATGAATTGATAGGGTAGATAAGGACATGCCATTTACCACAAGGGGCACACGCACTAGGGGACACAGGTGGAAATTGAGTGCCCAAATGAGCCACAGAGATATAAGAAAGAACTCTTTTAGTGGGACACTTTCAGAGTGGTTGGCAAATGGAATACATTAGGAAGTGATGTGGTGGAGGCTAATTCCATACATAGTTTCAAGTGTAGATATGATAGAGCCCAATAGGCTCAGGAACCTGTATACCAGTTGATTGACAGTTGAAAGGTGAGACTAAAGAGCCAGAGCTCAACCCCCGCAAGCCCTCACAAATAGGTGAGTACAAATAGTGTGCATGTGTGTACAAAATGTACACACATACTTCAGGAAGCAGCTGTCTAACTCCCAGGTACGTACCTGTTTACGCTAGGTAACAGTGAAAGAAACTCTGCCATCAGATTTAGACCCTAGGACCCATCATTTTGTTTCTGCCATCAGAATTAGACCCTAGGTCTAGGTCGTAGCCCCTAGGTCGTCAACCCTACGATTACGTGTCCAGAGCGCTGTCCACTCAGCCGTCAAGTCACCTGTAGATATGCGCTATGACAACTATTCAGCTTCCCGTGAACACTTGCAAACAGCTAGCATCCAGACAGATAGCAACCAATTCCATCCCAGCGGGATTCGAACCCGCGGCCTCTGGATTAGAAGTCCAGCGCGCTATCCACTGCGCCATGGGGACTATTCTATCATTAGGTAGGAAACTATGAAGATGAAATTGGGTACTTTCGGTTTTATTTTTGAATAAGGCAAAAGTCTGACAGCTTTTCAATTCGTTAGGGAATGAGTTCCAAAGACCAGGTCTCTTTATTTGCATAGAGATATTTATATCTATCTCGGGATATCTGGGGATATTAAAGAGATATGTATTTCTGGTGTGTTCATTATGTGTTCTATTACATCTGTCCAAGAAGAGTTTCAGAACAGGGTTTGTACTTAAGAACGGGGTTTTGTAAATGTAATTTGCATAAGAGAATGTGTCGAGTGAGTTTATGTTTAGCATGTTTAGGGATTTAAACGGGGGGTGGGGGGGTGGCTGAGTGTTGTCAACTCAATTTCTTTCTTTATTATGCACCCCATACTCATCCCGTGGGTGGTGGTGTAAAGGATTACAGAGGCACTAATCCCACTAAAAGGATTACTAATCGGTTCAGGCACTTAACCCTCTAGTTCGTTTAGCTAAGCAAATAACAATCTTTTGACGCTAGTTACAAAATTATTAATGTTATATATACATGTACACATACTCATACATACATGTCCACATATATACGTATACATATATACATACACATACATATATATACGTATACATATATACATACACATACATATTTAATCACCCCACACAAATACACACATCAATAATCTTTTGTGTCACAAGTGATTCAACAAGAGGCTCACAAGTCACTATCAGAAAGCAGAGTTTGTTATTGTTCTGATAGCAGATTTTTGCTGGGGGACGATGGGCTTGAGGTAATTTGCAGAGGTTGAGCTCCATGCACAGATACCATATGCAAGATAGGGATAGATTAGCGTGTAATATAGTGAGAGGAGAGCAGAGCTTGGAACATAATATTTGATTTTAGAGAGTATACCAATCGTTTTTGAGACTTTCTTGGTTATGTGTTGTATGTGGGTGCTGAAGTTGAGTCTCTTATCTAAGAATAGGCCAAGGAACTTTCCATCATTTTTATTGCTGATGATAACATTGTCTATCTGAACCTGAACTGCATTTGTTGATTTGCTTCCAAATAAGATGTGGTAGCGCTTTTTATGTTTAGTGTGTTTGTTGGTTGACATCCATAAGTGGACGTTTTTTAGTTCATTGTTTACAACATTAAATAATGTGTGGAAAGGGGTCTTCATCAGGGGTCTGGGAATGGGATGCATTAGGAAGTGATGTGGTGAAGGCAGACTCCATACACAGTTTCAAGTGAAGATATGATAGAGTCCAAAATACTCGGGAACCTGTACACCTGTTGATTGACGGTTGAGAGGCGGGACCAAAGAGCCGAAGCTCAACCCCCGCAAGCACAACTTGGTGAATACACACACACACACTCACTGTCTTCTCGTTACAAAAGTGTTATTGAAGAACCGATCAACTTGATTGGATGGCACAGTTCGATATATATGAAACTACCCACTTTTCTACTATTTTGAATCCTGCAATACTCTCAATTTTGAATTCTGACTTTCACATCAGTTCTAATCTTCGATGTCATATTATTCAAGTTGTATTTTATGCATTCACAAATGGTAGACCTTCCGTGACGATGTTATCCACCGACCAGGTGGCAGACAAAGATAAACAACAAAATCAGTGCAAGGCAATAATCAACATGATATACGATTATGAACGTGAAAAGCATTGTCTTCATTTATACATTGTGAAAACTCGCACCTATTTCAGATAGACCGTATGGATCAATGTTTACAAAATAAAATACAGAATGCTCATAGAGTAGGGGAAAGGATACAACACAGACAATGCAGGTTATGGCTACAGAGGCAGTTACAAAAGCAATTAGCTTGACGGTGGTATAGTCGGTAGACTCATGATAATAATATTTCGAGACCAAAAAGCGTAGTATTCATAGTCACAAAAGAGAGTATTCATAGTATTCATAGAGTCACCATAGAGTCATAATAGATTCCCAGTCTGGTTTTCGTTGAAATCGTTTGCGTTTGAAGTTCGTGATTTTGTTTTTATTATTTATTTATACAATTCTTACATTCTTGTACAGCTACTAGTACGAAAAGTAACGTTTCGGGCAAGTTACGACCCCGCGAAAAATCGTTTAACGACTAAGTATCCATTTTACTGTTGAGTTAAACAGGACAAAACGCTCACGAAATGCCAGGCGAACGAGCGCTTAACCACTACACCACGAGGGCTGTTAAACCTCAAGCATCCCCAGCGGGATTCGAACCCGCGGCCTCTGGATTAGAAGTCCAGCGCGCTATCCACTGCGCCATGGGGACTATATTCTAATATATATATAAATATTAATTTATTTTATAACATTTTATGTATGTTGACGTAAGCAATGCAAAATATGTTATATATCTAGAGTTTCAGGAAGCATTTGTTAAAGTTACTCATCTCAGACTACAGAAAAAATAAAAGTACACTGTTGTTGTATTAAGTACCTGGATAAATGGGTTATCTGGATGTATGTAATATGAACATTTGAGAAAATGTGTCATGTCAGGTTGAAGAAAAGTTACAAGTGGAGTGCCTCAAGGGTCTGTTCTGAGACAAGTTACATTCTTGATTTATATAATTGACATTGATAATAGTTCATTGCCGTGCATCTGAGCTTGCAAAAGGAAGAAGCTACGTCACAACTCCAATAGAGACACCGATATTATAGTCCTAATTGTACAGTAGATGTAGTCCTTATAGTAGTAGTGGATGTAGTACATATAGTACATATCCAGATCGCAGTGGATACAGTTTCAATGACACATTGGATATAGTCTCCATGACACGCTGAATATAGTCCCCATGGCGCAGTGGATAGCGCGCTGGACTTCTAATCCAGAGGCCGCGGGTTCGAATCCCGCTGGGGATGCTAGCTCTTTGCAAATGTTCACGGATAGTTTATCCAGCTTCCCGGAGCACATAGCGCATATTTATATAATATGAAGTTTAGGGGACATGGAGTCAATCTAGATAAATAAGATACAATGTATCAATTACTGATAACATGAAACACTTCTAAAGAAAGAATTATTCGTGTGCTTAAGACTACCTAAGACTTGGGATTATTGCTTTCCCTTATTAGTTGGAATCTATGGTTGGTGGGGTTTGTCTAGCAATAAATTATTAGTTGTATGGTAATGTATTTGAGGAAATAAATAAATAAGGGTTAGTGCTGGCAGGGGAACAGATTGGACGAGAATTCATAAGTGTGGTTACACAGCAGAGATGGAAAACCCATAACAGACCTCCTTAAGGGGTGCTACACAAAAAGGTATTTGAAACAAAAGAAATCATATAAGTGCACTTGTGTGGAAAGAAACATTTATATGTTATCGGGCTAACTGAAATGTGTATCAATGCAGAAAACAGAACTATTAGTTGAATATATAATTAAGGGATATACGTTATTTCATAGTGTTAAAGAGAACTACAAAATGACGCACATGTAAACTATTTGAAAGAATTCAATGAAAATAATGTTTATCTATTAATAGGTATCATATATAAACCACCAAACTTTACCAGAACAGAAACAAGGTAATTATGGAAAGAAATTACTAAGGTTGACATCCTACCTACCTTAGCCTTTACGTCTAAAAAATTTGTGTTATTGTGGACATTAACTATTCAGCCAAACAAAATTGCTTGAACCAAGAATCGTAGATTAACATCTTGAAAAGCATAGTTTTAAAAAGGATTCCCAACATGCTTTCACTGTGCCACATATTTAATAAGTGATATTTATATTATTTACAGTATTTTATATTTCAAACAGTTGAGAGCGGGAAGGGTTGCGATATTCTATATCTTGATTTTAGCAAAGATCTTTTGGATACTCCGCCTCATGGATTATTAAACATTTTTAGGCCCGCGGCTTTTTAGGGAGTGAAGTTATGCCAAGTTGGATTAGGGTTCGGTTATTTCAGGGAAATAGTGTGTCTCAAAAATCGCAACAAGACGATCAAGATAGGTCTTTATAAATGATTGAAAGATGCAGCTTAATGCTGAACAAAAGAGTAAGGTTTTGAGCTCAGTTATGGGAATTTTGCAACTAGCTCATCAAGATCGTAACTTGCTTAGCTAAATGAATTGTGGGATTCATTCCCTTAGCCTATTATGTGACTCAGTATCCCTTTCCACTACCGCCCACAAGATGGGTATGGGGTCCACAATAAATGAACTTAACTAACTGAGTTCAATTAGTAATATTAGAGTTCCAAACTGATGATGTCTGAATGCGAGAAAGATCTAAGAGTCATGAGAGGTAGGAATCTTAAGCAAAAAATCAACGTTTATAAAAATGTACGAATTATGTTCATGGCTAAAGTACATTTCCTGTTTCAACAGTAAGCTAATGTGGTGTACTCCGATTTCCGATATATACACTAAGAGTTTACTTTGATTCTGTCCTATGTTCAGGAATGTGGTATACTTACTGGTTGATCAGTAGGCTTTTGTGGAGTATCTCTCTTTCTCGGAGTATATAAACTGAGAATATACTTTCGTCCAGGACTATGTTGAGAACTAAAATATATTTGCTGGTCAGTAAGTCAGTAAGTAAAGTCATTCTCACCAATATAACCCTCCCAGAGTTTGACAACCTTTAAGGCTAGCCAATACAAATTGGCACCCCCAGAACATATTAGTACAGGAGCAAATCCACAAGAGCCTTGAGGAAGGGTTCGAACCTATGTGCAGGGTGTTCCCAGGAACGCTGGCACAGGAGCTCCGTGCCATCTTTCAGTACCTGTGTCCAATGACAAACCAAAGATTTGACTATTGCCGTTAAAACCTCGTCGAATTACGTGGTACATAGAGTGAAACACAAAACTATACGACCCCCTCAAAAAAAAATTGTAGCTTATTTTTGGCAAAATTTAAGTTATTCAAACAATATGAAATGAATTGCAAGTGAGAGCAATGACCGGATAGTGAATATAATTCACAGGAATAATGAATAATGAATAGAAT